ACGTAACATACGTTTCTTACGCGCCGCCTTTTGAGCACTGTCGGAGGTGTCGATCTTTGAGCCCACCACCTGCTCCAGTATGCCCATTTGCCAACTGCGCTCAGTTTCGACATTTTGCAAGGATTCTTTATGTGTAGACGCTTCAATCTGCTCCTCCCCTTCACCATCATCATCGTCGACGAATTTAGCATCAATGCGAAAACGCGGATCCAGGCTCTGTTTACTTTGCATTTCCACCAATTTTTCGCCTTTCTTGCCAAAGAGTTCCGGTTTCAGTTGCAACTTTGTATCAGTTTCTTCATCATCTTCCTCATCAGAGCCGAAAATATTGGTTATAGATTTCTGATGGAAATCGCTCTGAGTCGCAGTGTGCTCATCTTCCTCCGTATCGCTGAATCTGATTTTCTTCGATTTCGGCGCATCCTGGAACGGTAAATATATGTAAATACATGTACGATTTCCGTACGGACAAAAAGTTATGCGTTGGTTACTCGGCCGGAAAGAGCTTGCTGTATAACTGATTTCTTATCTTTGTACTGCTTAGTCATTTTATTTTGTGATTCCTTGCGCTTCTGCTCAGCTACACTGTCTGACCCATCTGGCTTCTTCTTTTTCTTCTTCGCTCCTTCGATAATGTGCATTGGCTTGGTATCGTAGCTTTGAATAACTATCTGCAAATATAAATGAATTAAATTTTGTATTCAACAAAACTATGCACAAGTTTTACCCTGCCATTATGCAACGAACTAGCTGCCCGTTTCTTGCTAATCAACAAATGTGCAGCAATGTCATCGTCATTTTCCAACGCCGTCAATTCCTCCTCAGTAAAGGTCTTACGTGTATTCTCGGCATTTTGTGGCAGGAACGCCTCAGTTTGCTGTTCACTCCGAACCACATCTATGACAGGATTCTTTCCCTTTTCAGCCTCCTCACGTTCACGCTTTAAGCGTTCTAAAAAGGATTCTTTCGCCACCGAAACCTTTATATTCGTACCATTTACCTTCACCCAATTAAGCGCGTCAACGCCTGTAATTTTAAAATTATAGTAATTTGATTTATTAGCTGTATACTTTGACTGCATCCTACAATTATTCACATCGTTTGGATGTATTTCCAGCGTTACAAACGCTATCACTTTGTCGCTTTCCGCTTCAAATGGATTATTTTTGGTCTTCAGTTCTACACGCTCAACGGTGCCATAATCCTGAAAAATCCGCAATAGCTGCTGTTCAGTTGTGTTAGGTGGCAGATTAGCCACAAAGAAACGTGAGCAGCCCATGCGAATGCCGCAAATTAAGAATTTTTACGTCAAAAATTAATCAAAGCTTCACAGGCAAAAAAACACACGTGCGAAGCAAATAGCGGAATTTATTTGGTGGCTAGGGATCAAACTATACCATAGAATTGTCAAACTATCGATAGTATCGATAGTTTAAATTTTTTTAGACTATCGATACTCATTGATAGTTTTTTCTTAGGTCGGTGTTACCGCAGAACTCCACAGGCAAACATCGATGGCCTACCAACTGTCATTTTGACGAGCAATGTGATTGCAAGTTTTTGTGTGTGGGCACTTTGATGTCTTGAAATAAGCATTTGCCGCATGCCGCCACCAGACAACATTCTCTCAATTTCGGTGTTTAAAAACATTTAAATCTTTAAAAAACTTGCTGAATAATTTCCTAAAACGTAATAATAAATAATCCAATAAGGAACAGACTTTTATTTTAATTTAATATAAAAATTTCATCGATGTTACCACCAGCACGCTTTCTTTCAAATGAAAATATGGCTGTCAAACTATCGAATTGCCTGCAATAGATGTCAAGCAATAAGCGCTGACATATATTGCAGCACATGAGAAATAGGCGGTCTCCATTGGAAATATATTTTGTGACATAGTTTTCACGACATCAGTGTTTTCCTGTGGAGACAGGGCCTTATGCAGAAATTTTGTTTGGCAAACTGCGTGCAATTGTTGTTGCAGCAAACTCGGAGAGAGCGAGTTTGGCGACTCTCACAGCAAACTAATTTTGTTTGGTCAAACTGCAGCAAATTCGGCGTTGTCATATACAAAAATTTTAGACAATTGTTGCTATACACAATATTCTCATTTCGTGTTGGCAATAGCCATCAAAACCATAATGAACGTGCAACCCTGTGCCAAACTCGACATAACCACTTCCGAGCAAACTAAGCAGTCGCCATTTAATTTGGCAAACAAAATTTTTCTGCATAACACCGACCTTATACTATCAAAAATATCGATAGTTTAGTAGGACTATCGATCTATTGTTTGTAATACCTGAATTAATCAATTTGAATTAAAAATTTTGTTTTTTAAAGCTGTGACAGACGGCAAAGCTTATGCATATAATCTGGCATACATATGCGGGGAAAATTTTAGTTTGGCATCCCCCGCGTACAAAAAAAAGGTGGCTATAGGGGGGTAGGGGGC